GATCTCCTGACCTTGTGATCTGCCTGCCTCAAACTCCTGAAGTGGTGGGATTACAGGCATGAACCACTACGCCCAGCCTCAACATTCCTAAGGGAAAGAATTTCAACCCAGAATTCATATCCAGCCAAACTAAGCTTCATAAGTGAGGAAGAAATAAAATCCTTTATAGACAAGCAAATACTGAGAGATTTTGTCACCACCAGGCCTGCCATACAAGAGCTCCTGAAAGAAACACTAAATATGGAAAGAAAAACTGGTACCAGCCACTGCAAAAGCATACCAAATTGTAAAGACCTTCGAAACTCTGAAGAAACTGCAACTAATGGGCAAAATTACCAGCTAGCATCATAATGACAGGATCAAATTCACACATAACAATATTAGCCTTAAATGTAAATGGGCTAAATGCTCCCAATTAAAAGACACAGATTGGCAAATTGGATAAAGAGTCAAGACCCATCAGTGTGCTGTATTCAGGAGACCCAGCTCATGTACAAAGACACACATAGGCTCAAAATAAAGGGATGGAGGAATATTTACCAAGCAAAAGGAAAGCCAAAAAGCAGGGGTTGCAATCCTAGTCTCTAATAAAACAGAGTTTAAATCAACAAAGATCAAAAGAGACAAAGAAGGTTGTTACATAATGGTAAAGGGATCAATGCAGCAAGAAGAGTTAACTATCCTTTATATATATATGCACTCAATACAGGAGCACCCAGATTCATAAAGCAAGTTCTTAGAGACCTACAAACAGACTTGGACTCCCACACAATAAGAGTGGGAGACTGTAACACCCCACTGTCAATATTAGACAAATCACCAAGACAGAAAATTAACAAGAATGTTCAGGAGTTGAACTCAGCTCTTGATCAAGTAGACCTAACAGACATCTACAGAACTCCCCACCCCAAATCAACAGAATATACATTCTTCTCAGCACCACATCACACTTATTATAATGTTGATAACATAATTGGAAGGAAAACACTACTCAGCAAATGCAAAAGAACAGAAATCATAAAAAACAGTCTCTCATACCACAGTGCAATGAAATTAGAATTCAGGATTAATAAATTCACTCAAAACTGCACAACTACATGGAAACTGAACAACCTGCTCCTGAATGACTACTGGGTAAATAATGAAATTAAGGCAGAAATAAATAAGTTCTCTGAAACCAATGAGAACAAAGATACAATGTACCAGAATCTCTGGGACACAGCTTAAGCAGTGTTTAGAGGGATATTTATAGCACTAAATGCACACAGGAGAAAGTGGGAAAGATCTAAAATTGACACTCTAACATCACAATTAAAAGAACTAGAGAAGCAATAACAAACAAATTCAAAAGTTAGCAAAATACAAGACATAACTAACATCAGAAGAGAACTGAAAGAGATAGAGACACGAAAATCCCTTCAAAAAAATAAATGAATCCAGGAGCTAGTTTTGTGAAAATATGAACAAAATAGGTAGACCACTAGCCAGACTAATAAAGAAGACAGAGAAGAATCAAATAGACACAGTAAAAAATGATAAAGGGGATATCACCCCGATCTCACAGAAATACAAACTACCATCAGAAAATACTATAAACACTTCTATGCAAATAAACTAGAAAATCTAGAAGAAACTGATAAATTCCTGGACACATACACCCTCCCAAGACTAAACCAGGAAGAAGTCGAATCCTTGAATAGACCAATAACAAGCTCTGAAATTGGGGCAGTAATTAATAGCCTACCAACCAAAAAAAGCCCAGGGCCAGGCAGAGTCACAGTCGAATTCTGCCAGAGGTACAAAGAGGAGCTGGTACCATTCCTTCTGAAACTATTCCAAACAGTAGAAAAAGAGGGGCTCCTCCCTAACTCATTCAATGAGGCCAGCACCATCCTGATACCAAAATCTGGCAGAGACACAACAAAAAAAGAAAATTTCAGGCCAATATCCCTGATGAACATTAATGCAAAAATCCTCAATAAAATACTGGCAAACTGAATTCAGCAGCACATCAAAAAGCTTATCCACCATGACCAAGTCAGCTTCATCCCTGGGATACAAGCCTGTTTCAACACATGCAAATCAATAAATGTAATCCATCACATAAACAGAACCAATGACAAAAAACACATGATTATCTCAGTAGATGCAGAAAAGGTTTTCAACAAAATTCAACAGCCCTTCCTGCTAAAAACTCTCAATAAACTAGGCATTGATGGAACATATCTCAAAATAATAAGAGCTATTTATGACAGACCAACAGCCAATATCACACTGAATGGGCAAAAGCTGGAAGCATTCCCTTTGAAAACCAGCACAAGACAAGGATGCCCTCTCTCACCACTCCTATTCAACATAGTATTAGAAGTTCTGGCCAGGGCAATCAGGCAAGAGAAAGAAATAAAGGGTAATTCAAAGAGGAAGAGAGGAAGTCAAATTGTGTCTGTTTGCAGATGACATGATTGTATATTTAGAAAACCCCATCGTCTCAGGCCCAAATCTCCTTAAGCTGATAAGCAACTTCAGCAAATCTCAGTATACAAAATCAATGTGCAAAAATCACAAGCATCCCTATACACCAATAATAGACAAAAAGAGATCCAAATCATGAGTGAACTCCCATTCACAATTACTACAAAGATAATAAAATACCTAGGAATACAACTTACAAGGGATGTGAAGGACCTCTTCAAGGAAAATTGCAAATCACTGCTCAAGGAAACAAAGGAAATAAGAGAGGACACACACCAAAAAATGGAAAAATAGTCTATGCTCATGGATAGGAAGAATGAATATTGTGAAAATGGCCATATTGCCCAAAGTAATTTGTAGATTCAATGCTATCCCCATCAAGCTACCATTGACTTTCTTCATGGAATTGGAAAAAACTACTTTAAATTTTATGCGGAACCAAAAAGAGCCTGTACAGCCAAGATAATCCTAAGCAAAAGGAATAAAGCTGGAGGCATCATGCTACCTGAATTCAAACTATACTACAAGGCTACAGTAACCAAAACAGCATTGTACTGGTACCAAAACAGACATATAGACCAATGGAACAGAACAGAGGCCTCAGAAATAACACCACACATCTACAATCATCTGATTTTTGACAAACCTGACAAAAACAAGCAATGGGGAAAGGATTCCCTATTTAATAAATGGTGTTGAGAAAACTAGCTAGCCATATGCAGAAAACTGAAACTGGACCCCTTCCTTACATCTTATACAAAAATTAACTCAAGATGGATCAAAGACTTAAATGTAAGACCTAAAACCATAAAAACCCTAAAAGAAAACTTAGGCAATACCTTTCAGGACATAGGCACAGCAAAAACCTCATGACTAAATCACCAAAAGCAATGGCAACAGAAGCCAAAAATGATAAATGGGATCTAATTAAACTAAGGAGCTTCTGCACAGCAATAGAAACTATCATCAGAGTGGATAGGCAAGAATGGGAGAAAATTTTTGCAATCTATCCATCTGACAAAGGGCTAATATCCAGAATCTACAAGGAACTTAAACACAGTTACAAGAAAACAAACAAACAAACGTACGTACCCATCAAAAAGTGGGTGAAGGATATGAACAGATACTTTTCCAAAGAAGACATTGATATGACCAACAAACATATGAAAAAAAGCTCATTATCATGGGTCATTAGAGAAATACAAATCAAAACTACAATGAGATACCATCTCAAGCCAGTTAGAATGGCAATTATTAAAAAGTTAGGAAACAACAGATACTAGGGAGGATGTGGAGAAATAGGAACACTTTTACACTGTTGGTGGGAGTGTAAATTAGTTCAACCATTGTGGAAGACAATGTGGTGATTCCTCAAGGATCTGGAACTAGAATTATCATTTGATCCAGCAATCCCATTACTGGATATATACCTAAAGGATTATAAATCATGCTACTGTAAAGACTCCATGTACATGTATGTTTATTGCAGCACAATACCAAAGACATGGAACCAACTCAAATGCCCATCAGTGATAGATTGGATAAAGAAAATGTGGCACGTACACACCATGGAATACTATGCAGCCATAAGAAAGAATGAGTTCATGTGCTTTACAGGTATATGGATGAAGCTGGAAACCATAATTCTCAAAAAACTAACACAGGAACAGAAATCCAAACACTGCATGTTCTCGCTCAAAAATGGGAGTTGAACAATGAGAACACGTCGACACAGGGAGGGGATCATTACACATCAGGGTCTGTCAGGGGTTGGGGGCGTAGGCGAGAGACAGCATTAGGAGAAATACCTAATGTAGATGACGAGTTGTTGGGTGCAGCAAACCACCATGGCACATGTATACCTAAGTAACAAAACTGCATGTTCTGCACATGTGTCCTAGAACTTAAAGTATAATAAAACAAAAACAACAACATTAACAACAACAAGAGTGTTTTTGTAGTGGCTGTTAATCGTCTTTTCTTTCCATATTAGTGCTTTATTTAGATGTGCTTGTAAGGCAGGTCTGGTGGTAACAAATTTCCTCAGCATTTGCTTGGCTTACAAAACTTCATTTTTGAAGTTTAGTTTGGCCTGATATGAAATTCTGGGTTGCAATTTCTTTTCTTTAAGAATGCTGAATATTGGCCCTGAATCTCTTCTAGCTTGTAGGATTTCTGCTAAGTCAGCTGTTAGTTTGATGGGCTTTTCTTTGTAGGTGACTTGATTCTTCTTCCAGCTGCATTTAACATTTTTCTTTCATTTAGACCTCAGAGAATCTGAAAATTATTTCTCTTGTGGATGTTCTTTTTGTGAAGTATATTACTGGGGTTCTCTGCATTTCCTGAATTTGAATGTTGGCCTCTCTAGCTAGGTTGGGGAAGGTCTCATAGATAATATCATGAAATGTTTTCCAAGTTGCTTACACCCTCTTTGTGTTTTTCAAGGACACCGATGAGTCATAGATTTGGTCACTTTATATAATCTCATATTTCTTTGAAGTTTTGTTCATTCATTTTCATTCTTTTTTTGTTATGCTTGTCTGTCTTATTTCAGAAAGCCAGTGTTCCAGCTTTGAGATTCTTTTCTCTGCTTCGTCTGTTCTGCTATTACTACTTGTGATTTCCTTATGAAATTCTTGTAGTATGTTTTTTCAGCTATATCAGGTAAGTTACAATTTTTTTTCTATACTGGCTATTTTGTCTATAAGTTCCTGTATTGTTTTATTGTGATTCTTAGCTTTCTTGCATTGAGTTTCAGTGTACTCCTTCATCTCAATGGTCTTTATTTCTATTCATATTCTAAATTCTATTTCTGGCACTTTAGCTATCTCAGCCCATTTTTAAACCCTTCCTGGAGAGGTGGTGTGGTTGTTTGGGGAAAAGAAGGCACTCTGGCTTTTGAGTTTTCAGAGTTCTTGTGCTGGTTCTTTCCCAGCTTTGTGGGCTGATGTTTCTTCAATCTTTGAGGTTTCTATACTTTGAATTTTTTTTCTTTTATCTTATTTGATGACCTTGAGGGTTTGATCGTGGTCTAAGGGAGATTCAGTAGACTGGCCTCATTTCTGGATCTTAGGGGGCCGATGCTCAGTTCCCAGCTCCTGGACTGCATGCTTTAGCAATGGGAAACTTTTATCCAGCCCCAACTTTGTTTTCTGACTCCCCAGGGTTTGGAGTCCACTGCACTGGGAGAACCAAGGTATTCCTGGACTGCTGGTCTCTACATTCTGATGGGTGGTGTTAGCCAAATAAACAAACATTTATTTCATGATTTGTTCATTTTGTGTTGGCAGATAGATAGATAGAGAGTTTAAAATAATTCAAGCTTACTAGAGAGTTACATTAGACAGAGAAGCCACCACTCTATTTGTAATTTACAAACCAGTGCCAGGGATATAGTGGCAGTGGCCATTTTAAAGACTGGGTCATTAATAAAGTGCTAGTGAGACTGGGTATATGGTTTGGATGTTTGTCCCTTTCAAATCTCATTTTGAAATGTGACCCTCAATATTTGAGGTGGGCCTAATGGGAGATGTTTGGGTCATGGGGGCGGATTTCTCATGAATGGTTTGGTGCCCTCCCCATGGTAATGAGTTGCAGCAAGTTCTTATTGTTAAAAAGAGTTTAGAACCTTCCTAATCTCCTTCTTGCTTTCCTGCTTTTTGTTTTGCCATATGATATGCCTGCTCCTGCTTCACCTTTTGCCATGAGTATAAGCTCCCTGAGGCCTCGCCAGAAGCTGAGCAAATGCCAGTGCTATGCTTGTACCCGCAGAATCATGAGCCAATAAAATATCTTTCTTTACAAATTATCCAATCTCAGGTATTCCTTTATACAAGTGCAAAAACACATTAACATATTGGGAATGCTAATAAAATAATTCTGGGGCAAAGGCAAAAGTTTAGCTCAGCAATTAGGCTCCTTTTGTCTTGCCACAACACCAAATTTAAAGGACAGGTTTTCAACTCTTATATGATTGGGATTTTATTATGTTTCAACCATTTAAATTTAGTGACCTTTAGGCAAGTCACTTAATTTATCTGTGCCTGTTCCTCATTGATAGAATGAAAACACCAATGCAACAATAACTACCTCACAAGACTGTGGTGAGGATTAAATGATATAATCTAGGCTAAGTATGAACATACTATTCATAACATATTAATCACTCAGCAAAAATTCAAAAGCCCTCAAGGTTCTTTTTTTCTTCATAATTGATTCTAGGATGTTATTTGGCTGTGTCTTATTGTTTCCCATGATATTGCTGATTATATAAACCCTAATATTAACATATATTTTGATTCTTCGCCATATTCCAACTCCTGGAATTCATCTGCACTTCTTGTCTTGGCTCTGTTTGTTTTGTTTTGGCTTTGGGCACTCAGCTCTATGGCTATCCAGTTATCACAACTTCATCTCACACAATCATCTGAAGAACAGAGAAAACATAAAAAACATTAACACAAACATAATAAAAACAAACAAGATCAAATTATTCTGCATGAAGATGTTTTAGTAACTTGAAGATCGATGAAATCTGCCTTCTGTATATATAAATAGTATTTTAACAACCCTTATGCCAGCTTCATAAAAGTTTCTGGGTTTTTTCTGCAAAAAATTATTTGCTGTTCAAGAGATGATACTAACTGAATACGTTGCAGTATCTTCGCGTTTATGTTGGTATATCTCACCTTTCTTTTTGGCAGAAGAACAACAATGACTTAGCCAGGTAGAGCTTGACAGTATGTAGAACTTTAAATTTAGTACAAATAAATGTTGTAGTTTATGCAGCTATGTAGTCATTGTGTAAACTAAAATCTTTAGACATGAACTCTATTTTAGATAAATATTATATTTTATAAATGAATAAATATGTAATATATACAGTAAACTACCAGATTAAGAAACCTCAATATTAAATAGATGTTCTTTAAGGCAGATGGATTTATAAAGTAATGTAATAATCTTTACAGTGTGTTGTAGCTTACAGTACTTTATAGCTCATAAATCATTCTGGGTTTTCATTGTTTCATGCATATCCAAGGATTATCTGGATTAAGAAATTGTGATTTTTGTCAACTATTAGCTTGCATTTGCTTACTATAAATATTGCATACAGACTCAAATAGTCAAGAATATTGGGCATTGAAACATAGTATGCATTTAAAAATCTGAGAATGAGAAAAATAAGGCAAATTAAATAATACTGTATTTTTATATATTAAATACTTATGCAACAGGGTAGAGGTAATGGAATATATGATATCTACATTTAAAAATAACGAATGGTTACTATAGAGGATCATATTTATATTCTAGAATTTGTCTTATTTATAAATTCAATGTTATTGAAGAATTTCCAGGATAAATCAATATAAGTACTTGCACTTTATGAAATTTATTCCTTCATTGCTTTGCTTAAGTATGCACAGCTAATATATTACTACTAAACATTGTGTTTACTACCAGTCTATTAGCATAATTAATTTGTCTCTGACAGAATCCTGTGATTACCCCAAAGTGACAATTATTATAAGATAAAAATTTCAGACTAAAGTGCTCAGTTATTGGCTAGTGATTTGGGCTGCACTTAGCTGAAGAGTTCTGGTTTCGCCTGGGTGCTTTCATGTATTTATAATCATGTGGGAGCTGGTTGACCTAGGGCTTTAACTCAACTGCTCATTCCTGCAGGCTAGCCCAGTCTTGTTCACATGGAAATTCATTCCAAGAACAGCAAGAACCCAACAACCAAGGTAGAGCATTTTAAAAAATCTGCTTGCATTATATTTGTTTGTTATGTTCTATTAGCCAAAGCAAGTCACATGACCAAGCCAATTAGTCCGTGTGGTAAGACATTAACCTAACGTGAGGACACAGGGTGCCATACGTAAATTTGGATTGAATAATCTACCACAATGAGGTCTTACAAGGTAATTTAAGTAATCTCTCACTTCACAAAGAGATAGCTAAAATGTCAAATATAAATATAATTTCTTTCAACTTGAATTCTATTTGCTTGATGACACAAGAATTTGTTTGGTAACTGCTTCTGTAGCAATAAGCATTTCCTAGTGACAGATATGTCTCAATATTGTTTGTACAGAGAAAGTTTGAATCTTCTTCCCCTTCTCCATCCCTACCATCCACCATCCATCTTCACTAACCCTTCAAACAATTAAATCATGTCTATTGTAACATAAAATGAACTCCACACAATGAACCAAACTAAACCAAATCAAACCAAATAATATCAACAACAAATTAAAATTATCAAAACTTTTTCACATAGCAGATAAGTATTTTCAGAGGAAGTTTACATATACCATACGTGCTCAAAATTAAGATTTCTAACATGAAATTAAGATTTCCACAAAAAGTCAGAATTTAGGTATTTTAGGTAAATTCTCATACAGAGTTAGTGCCTTTTGAGCTGCAACAACTTAAGCATTCAATGAGTGATGGTTTGATGAGAAAGTAGAGCTTAAGTACCATGCTAGTCTTTATATAAATAGTATATTTTATTGCCTTCTACCAGCACATTTATTATTTTATAGTTACAAATCGGCTTCTCAGTATCTCCTCGCTTTCTGTCCTCATTTATTGACAAATAATTTTGATTGTTTACTGATCAGAAGATTTATTTGGGAAAATGTGTGAGTCAAATGAAAAATGAGAATTATAATTCAAGGGTATAATAAGATCTCTCAAGAGGATTTTAGACTAAGTAAACTGAATGTGTTTGTAGGCCAATGAAATGGGTCAGGAGAAGAGTGAGGCTTTTTAAGAAAAAAGCTATGCAATTCATTTATAGAATGAGTTTGCAAGGATCCTAGGTATTATTTTTGGAAAAGAGGACAGACTTGTTTCTCTATGAGAGAAGAAAAGGGTAGAATAAGTATAGGCTGTAGAACAAGGCTATGCAAAAGAACAGATTATGATGCAACAGACATTTATCATTGGAGGGGGAGACATTTTTTCTTTTTCATGCTGTTCAGTAAAATAAGAGGTAGGATCAATTACTTAGATTGAAAGTCTAGTTCATTGCAGTTCATCTGACATTATTTGAACATTTCTTATGTGACGAGAATATTCCTAGATACCTATGATCCCAAGAGGAGTAATCAGCAATCTCTATTGAAGGACTTGGCAATCTAAGTGAGAGACTGGTTACATAAATCCAGTCTAATGTTCATAGGTAGGCTTTCGGAGAAAATGTTACCTAAGTTTGGTCTTAAAGGACATACAGACATTAATCATGAGAAGATAGGGAAGGAGATTGCAAACAGAAAGAAAAGTAATTGCCAAACCAGCTAAGGTAGACAGACAAATGTTTACTATTGATAGAACTGTTTCTGAATTGTTTTTAACTTATTACTTCTTTGATGAGCATGAAAAATTTTACACGTCCCTCTTCCTGAAATACTGAATTGCCTTCCACTAATGCTGCCCACTATAGAACCTGATATTTCTTGGTGATGAGAAGACTCTCCCTGAGCAAATTGAACCGGCAGTTGAAAGTATGTGTGGGTCTTTCTATTAGCAATTCTGCAAGAGGCTTATGCTGTGGAAACTACAGGCAGTAGAACATAAATAGAAAGGAAGCATAAACTAGAATTAACAGGACTCCTGGTTTATACCTAGGGAGCCATGGAGGACTGGAAATAGTTCTGAGACAGTAAAGCAAGGTACTTAACATTTTCTACCAGTTAAATTCCTATGTATCCTCTAATGAAGTACTACTTGATTAAAGGTGTGAACAAGTGGAATAAATGACTCATAAGGCTTCCACGTCACACATATTTAAGATCCCAGTAACTTCAACATTAAAATTAGCAACCTGTTTATGTTGATTTGCCCAGGTAGATATTTTTTTCCTAAAGATATTTTATTTTAAGACAGGGTCTCTGTCTGTCACCTAGGCTGGAGTGCAGTGGCATGGTTATGGCTCTCTGCAGCCTCCACCTCCTGGGGTCAAGCCATCCTTTCACCTCAGCCTCCTGAGAGCTGCTACCACACGTGCACAGCACCATATCCGGCTAATTTATTATTATTATTTGTAGAGATGGGCTGGTCACCCAGGCTGGTCCTGAACGCCTGGGCCCAAACAATCAACCTGTATTGATCTCCCAAAGTGCTGGGATTATGGTGTGCAAAAGGGAACATAAATTACATTAACAAAAATCAAAGTAACAAAAACAACAGAAAACAAAACAAAACAAAAACACTATCAATCAAAACAAGTCATCTACCTAGGACACTTAGTGAATTTATTTAAAGCTTTTAGATATTTGCTGAATGAACATTAGAATGGCTGTCATAAAATATTAGAAATTACTTTCTCAGAGTCCAAGGAGCATGGCTATTTTTTTTTTTTTTTCTTAGAGAATTTATTGTCAGCCCTACCTTTTATTGGTATAGAAAGGTGGACATTAGATCATGGGGTAAAAGAAACTTTGCCTCTTCAAGTTTGCTGCTGCATTTTGATTTTGGACCTCCTACAAACTTAATGGTACTGGTGGCAGCAGGACTCATATTAAAGATTGGCTGAGGCTAGTTTTCATTGCTGGCCTGCTTCAGACCCCTTTTTATTATCTTTGGTTCCCTAGCAACAGATAATGTTCAGTTAAGGCCAGATGATGCCATCAAGGCTCTTCCCTGTGCTATGATTTTGAGTGTTTATTCATTAACCACATTCCTTAGAGTCTATGTAATGGCCTCTATTAGTGTGAAATGGGAAAACTGTGATTTGGTTAATGAAACAGTCACTTATTTTTGAGCCTCTAATACTATAGAGTGAATTTGTTTGAAAAATATGCTGAGCAAACTTCTTTGATGGCTTGAAGAAACATAATTTGTTGGTGACTTACTATAATTTAAAAAGAAGTAGAAGTGATTTCTCTATAGGTGGCTTCTTTCGAATTGCAGGTTTGAAGGTGGCTTATCACAGCAAGGAACTAATCGTCTGGTCTTAACCAGGCACACTGCTGCAAGATCTTGGAAACATTTCTTCTGATGCTTGTATCACCTTGAGCTTCATTTTAATGATACCTCGTTCTCTTTGGTATTGAGTCTCATTTCAACAGAAAATGTGAGCGAGTTTTACTTTTTTAAAGAACTGAGTTATGTAGACAAAGTTGAAAATTGCTAAAAAGTATTTCTCATATGTTTGAAAAATCCGTTGAGAGAGGTAGATTTGCCTTATTTTTTAACAGCTTTTAATACCTTTTGACATTAACTACTTTTTTAATATCTGTGATATTTGTCATTTTTACTTCAGAAATATAATTACTTATGCAATTGAAGTATTATTATGTAAGTGTCTTAATGGAAATAAATGTCTCCTCAAATTAATGTAATCCAAATTTTAAAGTTAACTTTAGAGTATTTTATATGGTTTTATAACTAATTTCTTTACCTAATCACAATTTAAATTTAGAATGAATAAAATCAGTTTTAATGTTTAGTATTTTGAAAACCAACTGGTTTATATTTCAATCAAAAAATCCCTTTTCTATGTTTATGTTAATGTGACTGTGCAAGACATTTTAGGTCTTGCAAATATGACAAAGACATAATCTTTGTTTTCAAGTAATTTATTATTTTATGAAGCAGGCATGTAAGTAAATTTAAAGCAAGGAATAATGTAACTTTACAGACAGAAACCCATGCAGATATAAATACATGTATTGGATTTGTTCAAGAGACAACAAGGATTTAAACTTGTCTAGGAAAGTGATTCTCCAATTTGCATTGCAGACCAACCAGCAGCATAATTTGAGAACTTTTTTAGAAATGCAAATTCCTGGGTTTTATCTGTAAGCTCAAAGAATCTGGAATGGAGTCTAGCAATCTGTTTTCACAAGCCCTTTATGTGATTCTAATGTACTCTAAAGTTTGAGACCCACTACTTCAGAGCTGAACTATCCAGTATACTAGCCACTAGCTATATATTGCTACACAATTTATATTAAATCAAGATTTCAGTTCCTCAGTTACATTAGCCACATATGCTTAGTATGTCTACCGAGTGCTCAGAAGACATATGGAGCTAGAGCCGCCACATTGGACAGAGTAGATATAAGGATTTCCACCATTAGTTATCATTACTTTAGAGCATGGAGACCTCAATGAGATATTATCAAGGACAGAAAGAAAGCTTTAGTTCAGATCATAGAAACTCTTAAATGTAAAAGTAAGGAACTTGAGCCATACCCTAGTATAATAGGGGAGTGATAAATATTTTTTAAGGAAAGAACAATGACAAAGGCTGGACTTTGTTCACACAACATCAGTCTTCCAGCCAGGTACCAGATGATTCCTACTGACTGAGTCTAGAGGGAAGCAAATACCAGTTATACTTGCACTGAGACTGTAATAAAGGGAAGGGAAAGTACAATGTGCATTTATAAAACATTGAAAAAGTAGATGCAATAGGAACTGCTTACTCTTTGGATAGGAGATGGTCAGAAAACAGAAAACTTGAATAAGACTATATTTTTTAGTGAATGACTGGGACAAAGTTAATGCCATTACGAGTGACAAATAAGAATAGCAGTAGCTTATCAGATTAAGAAAAAAAGATGATTAATTTGCCATAACATTGTATTAAGCCAATAGCTTTTATATTCATCCAGAAATTTTTTTCACTATTTTTATAACACAGTTTTAACTTGTTATTTCACTGTCTAATAGTTTCTTAGATAACCACTTTTAATGAAGAAATTAAATACTTTCCCAATAATTATTAAATGTT